TCGGAGTTGTCCCGCTGTCTGCGTGTCTGCCGTACCACGGCGCGATGAACCGGCCGTTGCATTCGGAAGGGGAAAATTGAGGCAAATTGCTGCGCAGATAACACACAGATGCACCAAACGATCTCCGACGTGCGGACTTTGACACCCGCTCCTTCTCACTGTTAAGGCCGTAGGAGCGCAAAATTTTTTTTTCGCTAATCGATAGTGATTGATGTGTTGAACCATCATGTCGAACCGTTTTGCCCTGCGACGCTTAGTTTAGGCGTCGCGACGCCTCAAAGTTCGAAATTTTAACATTTTTGGAAGCACCGATTGAGAGAATGAAAAGTCGCAGCGACCTGAAATTTTGCACACATGTTGGCAGTGACCATATGAAGGGCAAGTGGTGTTTTGATTTGCGTCCCAAGTTCCAGGAGCACTCCTGGAACGCCTTGAAAGTAAGTGATTTTTGGAAAGCCACTGAGAGGGACCTAATAATACGGAGAGAAAACGAAACCCCAAGTGCCCTAGGCCCAATCTTCCTCTTTACGGCAAAGTTTTTCCGATGACGCCACGACTTGTGGTTTTCGAGATCCGTGCGTTAGAAAACTACCCAGATTTGCAGGTCCTGCACCAGTAGAGAGAGACAGGCTGCTTCGGCCGATGTGTTGTTTCCGTCGCACACCGGAGCTCGAGGCAGGTAGTCGGGGTCCGGGGTGACGCGCCGGGCGGACAATAGGCGAGCCGTCAAGGAGCCGTCTGCAATGCAGGCGGCACCGGGCCCCGACCAGTTTTGGCCGATTTTCGTCGCGATTTCGGTAGAAATTATCGTAGAACAGGAATTCAAACACCATTCGACCCAGCTTTTTACAACGAATCTATTGCCGCATTTTCCAAAATCGGAAAAAGGCTCGTTTGAAAATTTCTATTTTGGGTCTTGGGGTTATAAATCAGCCTGTCATCATCGTCGCCTCGGCGCAGCCCATTGTGAAGCAGGCCTCTCCATACAAAAGGGAGGCGGTCCCTTCGCTACCTGAAAGCTTAAATTTTTCTAACGCGTCGTTTGACGCTGATGGGATGTTCACCATCGTACTCGGGATGAAAATCTCGAACTTTCCATCTAAAAATTAAGTTTCTGCGGCCACTTTTAACAGAGCAATGAGAACAATTTTTTTAGCTATATAGAAATAATCAGTACTTCGCAAAAAATATTTTGTTAAAATTTGGTCGAAACTTTTGATTTTGACCTGAAACTTGGACTTAGGAGTTGAAGACCGACCCCGAGCTCACGAAAAGCTGGCGATCTGCTCCGTGCGGCCCAGGCCGAGCCCCGTGCCGGGGTGTCATTCACCCGCACTCCGGCAGGCCGGCCATAAACAGCCGGCCGAGGGTGCATTGTCTGCGAACCAGGTCTACGGGGCATCGGGACCCCGGCCTCAGACGACTGCGGATGCACCCGAAAACGCTCTCGGATGCTACCATTCTCAGAGTAGCCACCCGCTCCTACGCCCTTAAAAAAAATATGAAAATTCAGACTGATTTCGTCTTACTTTGTGGTCTGAATCGCAAATTCATAAAATGGTACGAATATTAAGACCAACTGTCTGAAAAGTGTGACTTGATGTCAGAAATTTGAATTCAGACTTGCAAGTTTTGTTCATTGTCGTCCGAAAACAAAATTCATACTTGTGAAGTCGGAAAACGGGTGAAAAATTGCCGTCCACTTAATACATTTTACGGTTTCCTATTTTTTTTATCAATACCGTTGTTGTATTTCAAATAATATTTACGTTTAGTGTCGTTAGAGCGAATAGAATGTTTCAGAGCTCCGAAAAGGATACTTTTTTTCTCCATCCGCTAGGTGGCGCTAGTGTCGCATGGTTGGTCTCTTGGAGCTAAAATTGCCTCTTGAAGCCGAAAGGGGGTAAACATTTTGTTAAAAACTTATTCCAAGTAATTGTCTGAGAGGGCATGAGCGCACCAAAGCAAGATTGATGTTAATAAGTGCAATATTAGCTAAATAATAGAGAATGAAACTTCTCTCTCACGCATGACCGCGGGTCGACGCGTGGTTGGGCTGAGGCCGCTCTCCCGGTAGTTTCATCAGACACCTCAGGCTATTGCAGGACATCTGTGAGATACTGTCTGCAACTGTGTAACTTATTTTTTAACTCCAGTTCTTCTGCCGAACGGCTGACGAAACGATTGGAAATAGCCGATAAGCGCTCCACTCTTATGAGTAGTAACTTTTAGTGAGGTTGTTTCTGTTTTTCGTATAACTGAGTATGATAAGTAAGACCGATTGGTATCATTTTTCATACAACATGTTGATCTGAAAATTCAGACTAACGTCGTCTGAAATTTTAAGACCTCAAAGTATGAAAGTTTTGGTATGAAAATTCAGACTGAATGTAAGTAAATCGACTTCTTCCAAAAAATTATGAATTTTCAGTAAATTTTTTTAACAGTGCTCCGAAACGTCAAGGAAAACAGAGGCAAACTAACAGACTGAAATTGATTTGCTTCTGCTAATTGACTCACGCTACAAATGCATTTTCTAGGCCCCAGCACATTAAGAAAAGGAAATATTAAACTGTAAAGTTGAAAATTTTGTGTTAACATTTAGACAACTTACTATTTTTTAATTTTTTATCTTTTTTTAAAAACTTGTCACAGGGCGTTGCACCTGGCCCCACTTGGCAGTGTACTTTCACCGCGCGCGCCGCGCCTTGTTTGCTCTCGCGTAATGCGTAAATGTTATCTCTGCGAGGCATTGCGGTGTGGGTCCCCGCGTCACCGCCGCTAGACTCATTCCTCGTCGCTCTGTCTCTCTCGCACCTATACGGGGCGCCCCGTGAGTGCGAGAGAGACAGAGCGACGACTCTCGGAAATGCTGCGCGGCGACTTGGCGGACGGAAAGACAGAGGCAGAGTAGACAGAGGCAGAGAGAGACAGCTTTCCATGCGGTTTTCGCGGAACGGACCACGGGGAGGCGCTGTCTGCTGTCTAGTGACGCACCACTAGGAGGCAGTGGTCTCATTCCCAACAGCGGTACTGCGTCGCTCCGTCTCCCTCGCACCCCGGAGGAATAACTCTCATAAGAGCGACGGAGACAGCACGACAGCGACAAAAGCGCTGTTCGGAATCGGACCGCAGACGTCCTGGAACGGTGATAATAAATTTTATCTTTGAATGTTGTTGTTTTGTTTCTGTGCATTCGTCGAACCCAGGTGTTGACCAACACTAACGAAGGCTTTACAGGCTTGGTACGCCAAAAAAGCGGGTCATGCTGCACTTGATGACAATATCAAGGCTAAATTATTTCCTTACAACAATGTCATCAAATCAATTGATGACCTTGTTGTCACGCCCATGCAATAAGTGTAGGAGCTTTGATGAAAATATCATCAATTTGTCACGAGATTGTCGTCATTTCAAAGTGATGAAAATACCATCCACGTTTTTGTCAGTGACAACAAATTTTCACAGTGTACACACACCCCCAAGACCACATCTCGTAAGCTCGCTCATACATTCCTCAGCTTACTATAGTACACTAACAACCTCACCGCAGAGGACATGCGAAGCACACTGTTTTTGTACCTGGGACCCATGCCTGGGCCTGAGCACCGTTACACTGGTGAAACTCATTAGCGATCCGGGTGCCATTTTCTGGCCCAGTCTCTCTGACTACTGGACCGACGAACGGTCAAAACCGAACCGCGTCGTTGCTCTCCTCTCCCTCTCTCAAACGTTACGGTGATCCGTCGCTCTGTCTCTCTCGCACCCATACGGAACGCCCCATGAGTGCGACAGAGACAGAGCGACGAAAACGACTCACGGAATCAGGCTGCTGACCCGAGACTCGCGTGGCTGCCGGGGAAACCCTTCTGTCCGCCCGCAGAGGAAAGGATTCTGTTTGTTCCCGACAAACGCCTCGCGTGACAGTCTGACAGTGTAGTCGCACTTGGCCATGGGGCGTTTTCTGGAACACGAAGGAGCGCGTTGCAGGGAGCGGGCGCCGCGAGGCACAAGGCGGAAGGGCCGACCGGTTTGAAAAGCAGATTGTGGCCCTTCCGCCCTTCGGCCCACAGTGGATTTGCCAGAAGACCGGCGGCGGCGGCTAAAACTCTAGACGCGTTTTGAGCTCCAGAGTCGCTAAATGGGACTCGAACCGAGCGAGTGACCCCATCAATGGACTTCTCGTTCAGATAGTGTTATTAGCGATCCGTTTGTATTCAGCTTTGTAAACCCATCCTGACATTCGAAAAGAATTTGTCTTGATTTCCTTCCAGAGGTTCGGGCTGCGTTCGACAATGCGTCCCTCTTGGTGTGCACAAGCAGATAAGCCCCGGTATTGGCAGTTGCCGCACGCGGTGCACAGCACGCCGGTCTGTGCGAGCATTCCTCGCATTTTGTGTGCTACACTTCGAACCTGGTGTGAGTACAGGGGAGGGGCACAGGGGTCTCTCCCCCCCCCCCCCCCCCCCCCCGCACAGCACCTAGACAGCCGCCGAAAAGGTAGGCAAGAAGCCATACTTTGCTCCTGTTAGTAGGCAAAAGTGCTTCTTTGGCCTTTCCCCTGCATAGTGGGCTAGACGACCGGTGGAGGCCTCCAAAACCCTCGAAGCATTTTGAGCTCTAGAGTCGCTAACAGGGCTCTAGGCGAGCGTGTGACCCCACCAATGGATTCCTCGTTCGGAAGGGCAATCCATTGATGGGGTGACACGCTTGGGTTGAGTCCCATTTAGCGACTCTGGAGGTCAAAACGCGTGTGGAGTTTCGGCCGCCTGGGCCGGCCTTCTGGCCCACTGTGCACTTCAAACCCACTGGCTTGGCGGTACTCTTCTCCCCGGCCCGGTGCATATCGTCCCAACACAGCTTTATGGCAGCGAGCAAAGCATTTCACTCCGAGTCAACAGCTCGCCGTGGTTGGCGTTCAAAGACCGGCCTCGGGTTCACTTATCTAGCCGCGCTGCCCCGCGCGGGGACTGCAGCAAGGGGCACAAGGCCCCGCTCACCTCAAGAAGTCCGTCTTCGTGGTGCAGCCGGTGCAGCGGCCGTCAGCTGGCTGGAGCCGCTCTGGGTCTCACTGTCGTCGCGACGGCCCGGCGAGCGTCGCCCAGGTACTCCTCCCTTTCCACGTTCACTTTTCCACCTTCGCTTTCCTTTGCCCGCGCGCGACCTGCTCACTTGCACTTGTTCACGACATGCCTATCTCGCTGACACGATTCGCGCGCACACACACACACACACACCGCGCACGGCGTCACACACACACGGACACTTGCAGTGGCGCGACAGTAGGCCGCCGGCCTGTGTCGTCGAGCCGCGCTGGGGCACTGTGAGGTGGCGGCAGTTCGCGGGCCTGGAGCCCCTGGAGCGAGGTGCCCGCGACCTGGAGGGGCCTGGAGCGGCCTGGAGCGCCTGGAGCGAGGTGCCCGCGACCTGGAGGGGTCTGGAGCGGCCTGGAGCGCCTGGAGCGAGGAGGACTGGCCGGCGGCTGTCGTCACGGTGGACTGTGACTGCATGAAGGCTCCAGGGTCGTAGAGACGGTCTCGTCCCGACCGGCTAGGCCCGACCCGACCGGCTGATGGAGCTGCAAGCGGGGCGCGGTGAGGCGCGGCGGGGCGCGGCGGGGCGCGGCGGGGCGCGGCGGGGCGCGGCGGGGCGCGGCGGGGCGCGGCGGGGCGCGGCGGGGCGTGGTGAGGCGCGGCGGGGCGCGGTGAGGCGCGGTGAGGCGCGGCGCGGTGGCCACTGGATTGGACCTAAGCCGCTGGACGGCGCGACGGGCCGAGCGAGCTGAATGCCGGCTGGCTGGCTGAATGTTGGGACTCGACGACCACCTCGCGACTGTTCGGGGACGTCCATTGCAACTCGCGACACGACTGTTCGCCCCGCCGCCCCTGCCTCCTCCCCCCCCCCCCCCACCTCCTCTGACGGCGCGCCGGCGGGTGCACCGAGGTAACTGCTACCGGCAAAGAATCGTGCCGCCGATACTCCGCGCCCACGCGACATTCACGTGGCCAGGCCCATGTCGCGAAGGGCATTCCCTAAAAATGTAACCCCTCCCACAGTGGGGCAGAAGGCCGGTGGAGGCGGCCAGACGCGGTTTGAGCTCCAGAGTCGCTAAATGGGGCTCGAACCGAACGTGTGACCCCACCAATGGATTGCTCTCCGGACGAGGAATCCATTGGTGGGGTTCATACGTTCAGTTCGGGTCCTGTTTGTGCTCTACCTTCAAGTGGTTGCGATTGCCATGCCAACAGTGAGTGGAAGGAAGGCCAGCGCGTATCCATAGGGGGGGAGGACAATTGTCTCTCCCCCCACTGACCCCTAGACCAGCGGTTCCCAACCTTGGGGTCGCGACCCCAAATGGGGTCGCGAAAAAATTTCGAGGGGTCGCGGCGAGGTGGCTGGGGTCGCCTGGGGTCGCGGTGTTTTCCCGGCTGGCCCACACGCCGAGCACTGGCTGCTTAAATGCCGCAAAGTTGATCAAAACGGTCACAAATGTCTGTAAAAGATCGTGTTTTGGGCCGACTTTAAGCATCCACTGCGTCTGATCCGAGGCGGTAAATCGTCCTCCCTCAACGGGCAATTGGTCTTTGGACCTTCCTTTTGCATGCCTTTGTTACGGAGTGTGATTATCTGCCTTAGTTTGGAAGCAGTACTGCCGCAAAGTTGGTCTAAACGGTCACAAATGTCTGTAAAAAAAATCGTGTTTTGGGCCGACTTTAAGCATCCACTGCGTCTGATCCGAGGCGGTAAATCGTCCTACGTCAACGGGCAATTGGTCTTTAGACCTTACCTTAGCATGCCTTTGTTACGGAGTGCGATTATGTGCCTTAGTTTGGGAATAGTTTTGCCGCAAAGTTGATCAAAACGGTCACAAATGTCTGAAAAATCGTGTTTTGATCAACTTTGTGGCAAAACTGCTCCCAAACTAAGGCAGATAATCGCACTCCGTAACAAAGGCATGCAAAAGGAAGGTCCAAAGACCAATTGACCGTTGAGGGAGGACGATTTACCGCCTCGGATCAGACGCAGTAGATGCTTAAAGTCGGCCCAAAACACGATTTTTTAAGACATTTGTGACCGTTTTGATCAACTTTGCGGCAATACTGCTCCCAAACTAAGGCAGATAATCGCACTCCATAACAAAGGCATGCTAAAGGAGGGGTCGCGTGGGGTCGCGAAATTTTTCCTGGGGGTCGCGGAAAGTTTTGGCTACAAATTTGGGGTCGCGAACCGCAAAAGGTTGGGAACCGCTGCCCTAGACATCCGCCTGAAAGGTAGGCCAAAAGCACCACTTTGCCCCTGTAAGTAAGAAAAAAGTGCTACCCCCCCCCCTCCCCTTGGGCCAGCTCTGGATCCGCTACTGAAGGGAGGAATCGAGCCGTCACTACCCCCCGCACGAGAGACTCCACACAGCCCAACCCCTGGACAACCATCACGCATGGAGTATTGACAAGGTGGCATTTGCATCAAAGCGCATCCAGAAAAGACGACGCGTCGATCGCCTCGCGGATGGGAGTCGTTTTCGTCGCTCTGTCTCTCTCGTTTTCATGGGCACTCCGTATGGGTGCGAGAGAGAAGCGCGACGAAAACGGCTCTCAGTCTGCGGAGTCTCAAGCGCGCGGGGTAGTGACGCGGCGGCTCCATTTGTTTGGCCACAATCGTTCGGCTGCCAAGGAATGACCTTGCTCTCGCCGGCTGCAATCCTGGGTGTTGTCAAGGGCGTAGCCAGGGGCGGATGCAGAGACAGGTGGGGGGAAGGGGTGATGTCGGAAAAGTTGCCTACCTGCAGGTGCTTAGTGCAACTTGTCGCCTACCTTTCAGGCCGCCCCCCCCCCCCTTTCTCCTGGATACGCACCTGTGTGTTGTTACCACCATCATGAGCGCTGAGCGCTGTGTAGGCCTGGGAGCGGAGACAGTAAAAAAGAAACACAACGTTCTAGAAAATCTCACAATCCCACAAAGCCATAGCGACTGGCTCCATTCACCTGATCACCAAGCCACTGTCAAATTCTTACGCCCGACGACGTAGAATCGTGCCAGAGTCATCCAGGACTCCAAGTGCGGCCAGTGGGAGCCGTTCGAAGCGCCAAAGTCTCATAGAAGCATTGACGCGTGGTTTGAACCGCAGCGCCAAAAAGGGGGCCATCTGATTGGTGCTACGGGTGTCTGCTGCGCGTGGCGCGTGCGCAGTGGCGGCCGCGACCAGAAGGATTTGTTGTTATTGTGTGGTGTCAGGTCAGCTTGTTTGACTTCTGTTCCCATCGAACCTGTTCCAAGTTTCCTGAAACATTCGTGTAAATTTTCCACTCGCAGGTTCAAGCAGGAAATGTAAATGGGGGAGCAGTGTGCAATGGAAGGTTTGTATTTTGAAATAACCATTACTTTCCTGTAAATTTTTCCCTAACCTGGTTCCCTAAGTTATTCTCAAACTTCTCATTCTATTCCCTCATTTTCCTTCTGAGTTCCTCACCACACTAAAATGTTCTTTAAACTTCTTTATTCATTCCCAACTATAGCTCACTGAAGGAATGTCTGTCATTTTGTAGTTACGCTTTTCGAACCCCCAGTGTTGTGAGCCTCTTGTAATGTTTCCCTGCTCCAAATGTTTACAGTGGATTCGAGACAACAAGATGCAGAGTCAGAATATGCAAGGGACTTCTGGACCCCTTTGAACAACACTATAGAAGCTTTCCTCCATCCCAGCAGTCAAACAAGTCCAATATCGTTTCAAGATACATTTACCCTGGTCTACAAATGTGTTGGAGAGGGGCATTCAGATCGCTTGCACAGTGATCTTATGCAAACCGTTTCAAAATACTTGAAGAATCTGCATGTTGAACTGCTCCAATGTTTGACAAGTGATAATGAAGCTACACAAGTAAGCATGACTTCTACCTGCTCCCTTTTTCATTATTTCATACACTTATTTTTTTAACGTGTTTGATTTTTACTTTCAGGGCCAAGGAATCATTCAAATGATTCATATGTTTGACTGCGCTCTTTCGGACTACATTAAAGCTGTGAAAGGAATTTCTGCATCTTTTTCATATCTGGTTGGTTTGATTTGTTTATGTTGAGTTTCAATTTATTTAAGTTGTGTCCACCTTGTTTTGTTTTTTTTAACTATTTTGTCAATTTTGTCAAACCCTTATTTTATACCCTGGAATTTTGCAGGGAAAATACTTTGCCCAAAAGAAAAATTACAAAACATTAGAAGATGAACTGACATTAATGTTTTGTTCAGAGATTGCAGAACATTTTATTCATGACATACTGAGTAAGTATTTTTTGTTGTTCTTCAAGTTTGCCCTACAATCTATATTTTAAAAAAATTTCATTTTTTTACCAGGTTGTGTAGAGAGGTCACCTCCCTTTACTCTTGAACCTGCTCTCCTTAGCCGCCTTTTCCACAACTTACAAACTGTATCACGAGAAGACTATGGAGCTTTATACAGCAAGTTATTCGCAAGATTCGTTACAGATGCCCTTCCTCGCATGCATGAGCATGATTTAGATTCTCACATTGCAGAAGTTCATGAACTGCAAGCTCAAATGAGGAGAGAATCAGATCAATTCAAACTTTCAAGTGCAGAGGGAGGATCAGAAAGAAATCCTGCTCTAAAGCGACCAGCAGAGGATTGTGATTGATTTATTTTGTGATGTGATGAGCCGCCTTGAGAGTCTTTTTTTCTGTTCATCTGTGTTTCTCTCAAGGATGCCTGCTCATTCAAGTATCAATAGTTGTGACTCTTCCCTTAAGTAGTAAGGAATCCTTCAGCATTTATGTAGCATATTTGTTGGTAGGTGGTATATTTCTAAGTTTATTTCCCATTGTTATTTAAATTTGAATGATAATCTAGTCATAAAGTTGGATGAAAGTGCCTGTTATTAGATAAGCCTAGTCATAAGTTCTTAGAAGAAAAAAAAAAGATGTGTTTGTCTGAGGCTTGAATGGCTGTTCTTTTTTGGCATTTATTTTAATGCAATCCTTTTCTTCATATCATACTTCTTTGTTTTGATCTATAATGATACTGTGGTATCAGTCCATGTGTTTATGACCATTGGAAAATAGAATTTTGTTACATTCAATGACAGACTGATTGTTCCTCACATTCCTCAGGGTGTGAGCTAAATATTTCCCAACTGACAGCATATTTGTTTTATCAAGCATGATACTGTTTACACGTAGTTCTGAGGTTCTGGTTCTGTTATTCAGCACTGAGTCTCTGTGCGCCCTGTCCTCTACTTGCTGCAATGTTGACCAATACTAGGATTAATTATCAACTTGTGCTTCCTTTAATAAGTACATTAGAGTTTAGAGCTGGAATTGGCAGGTGACATGTCTGCTGATTTTCTCCCTTTAGGTCTTCTTACATATTTGTTTTAAGTACTGTAGTTGATTAAGTATAAGCAATGAAATGCATCTTGACCTGTCATAATTCTCCCTGTACCAGTTGTGTGTAATGAACAACTGTTAAAATTATACTATCATTGATCAGTATTAAAACTGTTGGTGATTTTCACTGAGTCAGGTCACTGTATTGCAACCATAATTTTATTTTAGATCAAAAAATAAGGAATGCAAATAAAAACAGTTTTCAAGATCACCCTTGTGAGTTTATTACTCAAATGAATATGTAAAAACAATGTTCAAAACAAATGATAGCACAAATATATGGTAATGAAAACGCCTCACTACAGTAGTGCAATTCTTATTGCACTGCAAAGCAGGCTTTGACTGATTTGTAGCAAGACAATTGGTTCATTAAATTGCATCACCCATCAACCTCAACAATGATCCGCACAGATCCACAAAACAATTGAAGTACAATTCGAAAAGTACACAAAATTGCAACATTTAACTCAACCCAAAATAAATGGCCACATTTCCAAATTTAACTTGGAACCTGGCTTGTCGCTAAACGGCAAAGACAGAGCCGCTGTAGCAACACCACACAACCTTTCAACGAAGCAACTTGATTTTAGAGTAGAAGCCCCAAGGGCTCAAAGTATTGTGTCTTAGAGACACAGCGAGACAGTCATAGGAAGAATTAATTACTAGAAATATTCCAGATGTCATTGTGCTTAGCCTAACCACAGAATGACCAAGTAAGGCACACAATTTAGATCAGAAGAGAATGATGACATTTTCCGAAATGATTCTCTGGGTCTAGGTTCAGCAGAAACAATTCATGCAAGAATTGAGGCAGAAATCAACAATCGTACAAGCTTTTCTTGCCAAACAGAGGGATACCGAAAGTGCTCTTCAGATGAATGGTTTTCAATCCTGCAACAAAGGACAACAAGAGTGACGGTTAGCTCATCAGGCACCACAAAAAGTACAGCGAAGATGGACACTATTGGATCAATGAGAAAGCGAACAGAAAACGACTTACCTCGCCAAGTTATCCACAGAAGTAGCAGTCCTATGGTTTCTATTCTGATTCTTTCTTGTCTTGACTTACGGCAGCCTCCTCTTTGCTGGCGTCGTCGAAGTTGCCGACTAACTCCGGGACTTCGTCTTCCTCGTCGATGGCCATCTTGGTGCCTCCAGCGCTGGAGGCTACACTGGAAGCCAGGCGCTTGAGCTGAGTTAGGCCCTCGGGGCCGAGTTGACTCAAAATACCGGGGAGCATTTCGGTGATTTGCTTTGACTCGGCGTGGCCGGTGATGGCGAAGGTGTTGGCCGCTAGGGAGGCCTGGGCCTTGGGGTTGTTGAAATGGATCACTGTGCCATCGTCCTTGATCATGTTCACTTCTTCGATGCCAGGAATCGTGTTCACTGACAATTTCTTGAGCGAGCTTTGCAGTTTCTTGTCGTCAGTGGCGGCTGTTGCGTGAACAATCTTCTTCTTTCTGCGTGGTGTGCCTTTGCCTCCTATGCGGACTTGAGCGGATTGCTGCTGCAGTTTCTTCAACTTTTCCGGGTTCATGATGCACAGAGTCGCGTTGAAAACTTGGCTTCAAAATAAGTGCCGCGGCGTTGCGAATGAAATGCGACTAGAAGTTTGGCGGTCCAAAACACAAAAGTGCTTCGTTTAACCAAACACAAATTCTCAAACACGTGCAGCAAGCGTCTCCGCCGAGGAACCGAGAAAATGGACGATTCATGCAGCTTGACCAACCTTCAGGGATGAAACGCCGGTACATGTGCGAGATAAATGTGGCCGGAAACTGACCACTTTGTACAGTCGCATGAGTGACCAGAGTAACTTGGGCACACGTCGTGTCAAAATAGAAAAGAGACAGCAGAGGTGACGCACAGAAAATCTGTGATTTTTGGCCGCTCTATGAGGTATGATTTGCGAAGTGGGATTTGTCGTTTGTCAATTTACTGCTTCGGGATCAGGATCGATCTATCGACTCATCAACTCAAATTTTTAAACTTTCTGTACGGGGGTATAAATGTTCTTGTCGATAAATGTAATTTTAAAATTTATAAAAATTTGAAATCAAAACAAAATCTTCTATTTTATGAATAAAAAGGGGAAATACATAGCCTTTTTTTTTTTGCATTGTTGGCTAAACAATGTTACCCTGACTTTTCCGGTTTGTCTCTCATCGGCATCATTTTCGCGCGAAATGGGATGTTTTTCAACCAGTGAAGTACTATTCTAACCTCTTGCGTTTGGTGATCGTGATGAATCTAGTTATTTTTCCATCTAAGTTAATAGACTTACTGCTCTGGTTTTATCTAGCGTCGCAAGTAAATGCACGATCCAGAAGGTGACTATTCTGTAAATACTTGTTTATTTGGACGGAATAGCAACTTGTTGTTACCCTTTGTGTTGACTGTTTTTGTTGTGGCTTGAATTCAGGTGAAACTCGACGGACAGTCAGTTTGCTTGTCAATTTTAGCTAGCATGGAATCCTATTTGCCTATCATCTTCCATCTTAAGGAGATTGCCAGTCATTACAAACATACGGTGAGTTCTCAAGTCCCTTAGTGTGTTTCTTAACCTATGGGTACATATATTTTTCATTGAGTTTTATCTCTGTGCTCTTCGTTTACTCTACATGACAGTTTGCTTACGGATTATGTGTTCTTTCCAGGGAAAGCTCCCTGCCCTCCTAGGGGATTGCCATTCATCTTTAGCTGTAACAGATACTACCTCTTGTGAGAATGAAGAGAAAGGCAAAAGTCCTGAGGCGTCTGAACCTTATATCCCAGTTTCATGCTGCGGTCTCTCCTTCCGTTTTCCAAGCCATTATAAGAATCATTTAGACTCTGACTATCACAATTCTAGGCTTGAACGGACATGTTCTGTTTGTGCCAAATATTTCAATACCAAGAAAGCATTAGCAGCACACAAGAAAGAGCATGATGTCAAGTTACCTTGTGAGGTAAGATACTTTCTGTATTTGTTATTAATGAAATGTCTTAAAAGAGATTAACTTGATGCCTTTAATTCCCTCTCTTTCTTCGTAGGTTTGTGGCATTATTTTCACCAGTGGATATTTATTGTCAGCACATAAGAGACAAATGCACAGTTCATCCTTATCAATTAAATGTGATAAATGTCCATTTAAAACTTGGAATAAGTATTATTTAACGAGGCATAAAAGAAGATGTATTGCTCTTAAACCGACTGTTAATCAGTCTCAGAAAAGTAGTTTTGAACCAATTGATTGTTGTGGCCATACCTTCAAATATGCATCTCACTTGGAGAGGCACAAAAAACACTGCAGACAAACCAAGACTTACAATTGTAAGATGTGTAATGAATATTTTGAAGAAGAAGAATCTCTTAATCAACATAGGATAAATGTGCATAAAATTGAGGGTGGGAGATGGACTTGTATGGTAAGTAATCTAATGTGTCTTGTACTTATATTTTGATTCTAATATTGTTTTTATGTTAAGTACAGTATTTTTGTTTTTGTTTTGTGTTTTGCAGATCTGCAATGAAACTTTTAGTACCAATGGGATTCTGAAGACCCACATGCAATCAGTTCATATCAAATCTACAGTGTTCGAATGTGCCAAGTGCCCATTTTCTTCACACAGAAAGGATTTTCTAAAGAGACACTTCCTTAGCTGTCACGCTGAAAAAGCTCCACGCTTCTGTTGTGACCATTGTGGCCGTTCTTTTGTTAGGAAAGATACACTGGCGGCTCACATTAAGAATATCCATTTCTCAAATATTCCCCATTGTGAAATTTGTTCTCGTCAGTTCAAGACTATTGAAGAAGTTGAGAAACACAAACTTTCCCATCGACCATGTCAAATATGTGGCAAGAAATTTACTCTTCTTAAGCATCGAGAAGCTCATATTCGGAAACATCTGTCACAAAATGGTCAAAGTTCTATTAAGAAAACATCAGCTTGAAATTGAATGAAATAGTGAGGTGTGAGTTCCTCCAAACACAGTCTTGCTATACTTGATTTTTTTTGCACAGTTCTTACCCCTGTGTTAAATTTGGAAACTGGTTGTAGTCAAATTTGTACCTTAGCTTAATGATGACTTTCAGACTGTTAGAGGCTACTCTAATTATGATACACATTTGTCATTTGTTTTGTATTGTTATCTGTGCCATTTGAGGAAGCTCATAGAGAGTGAAAGTTAAGAACTGAAATTTTCTAATGATGGAACGGAATGAAAAAGTTTCTTTTGTCTTTTTGATTATTTTGTTCATGGAAGTGATTGAACAGTATTCTTTGTGCATGATACTAAGGTTGTGAAGTGCAATGTAAGAGAAATTATTTTCCAGCCAATATTCTCATGTTTCCACTGTCAACCATCATCAATTTAGGGCAAAGACCTTAAACTTGAATAGTTTTGCAGTTTTCCATATCTTTATTTGTATACGGCATTCACAAATTATTAGACAAAAGATGTTGTCTCATATAGTGCTGGAATGTAATCTACTCCAGTTCCTTGAGCACCTCTCTGCAACCGATCTGTAATTGGAATTCCGTATTGCTGTTAAGAAATAAAATATTTTGAGATAAATTGTAATGGTATGTGTACCCTGGGTATTACTGGAACCAGGAACAGTAGCTTCTGCTGTTCTTTGATTTGGTTGCCTTTGAAGTCCAGAGGGAAGTCTAAATCAAGCAGAGGAGCGAATTAACATAGACCAAGTAAACTCATGTACAGAAGTATCAATTCCATTAAATTCTAAACAACTCCAAAATTTAAAAAAAAATTTCATCCTTTAAAGAAAAAAAAAAGAAAAAAACAATGTGGAGGAAAATGTCTTACCTTGATTTTGACAGCTTGTCTTGTGGGCAGCAGCAACTGCAACAGGGAAAACCGTGACAGTGTGTCGAATTAGCTCATGGCTGGCTCTGAAACTGCTGCTACATTGTTTTCACTTGTAGTCTGTCTGTACTCACGATCTGTCCCAACAGCAGCCGTAGAATAGGCACCCCGATGCGAGGACAAGGCCGATGAGCAGGACGGCAAGGCCCGTCCACATCATGCCCATGAACACCTTGTTCGTCTCTGACATGAGTCGGCCTACAAACAAGAAAAATCACTTGTTTATTTTAGCATAGGTCTTTTTTTTTCTACGGTGACTTCTAATATGTTCATGATTATGCTCTCTTTTTTTCATTCCTCTCCCCCCTTTTATTTGGTGGCACTTCTTGATCAACTCTTGTACGTTCCTGTTTTCTTTATGATACTGGTCATCGTGAGAGGACGGAGAGTCCAATTTAAATCTAATCAAGGACAGTGTTCTCTGTACAAAGCAGGAGCTCGCTTAGTGGGAAAGATGGGGTGGGCCACTCAGAAACACCAAAAATCTGAAAGGCTGTTGAGTGATTACCATGTGTGTGGTGCTTCTCCTCCATGTCAGAGAGCATGTACTTGAGGTCCTTGAAGGTGACACACTGTCGCGAGTACTCGTCCCAGTGAAAGTACCTAAGGCAAAATGGGAATACGTGTCAGAGGGGGCCGGTCATGCTCTCTCTTGGCTTTGCTTCCGTTGGTCCCGTACTTGACGCAGGCACAGCGACCCTCGCTGCACTTGAGGCGGAAGTCCACGCACTGGTCGTCGAAGTCGCACGTCTCGTTGAAGCCCCTCTCTGTAATGGAGACGAGGCGGTCACTCCAAAAAATACCACTTTTTTTTTTCAATCAATTTATTTTGGACGAGGCATTAGTATCAAACATCACTCAAAGTCCACGAAAACCCAAATTCGGTTAAACAAGGTCTATGGGTTAGTGCGACTCCGAGGTTTGAGAGTAGCTGTTTCCACCAGGGTGGCCCCGCAGCTATGTGGTGCGGTGTGGAAGTTGTCAAAGTCAGCTCGAATAAATCCATTTTGAACAGAAAAAGACTTAATTTGTGACTAAACTTTCGTGCCCTCTAAAACAGACAGTGAACTAACTCCAAAGAACAGCGCTGTCTGCCCGCAGCGTGGAAATGGAGGACCAGGAGGACATAGGGAATGCCCGCTCCCCAGCAAGAGACGAGTATTTTTGCCGCTGTTTGGCATGGCACTGACCGTAAAAACAGGGTCAATTCGACGACGATCGAGGCTCGCACACTGGGCCAGGGCGGTGGCGGCCAAAACTCCAGGTGCGTTTTGAGCTCCAGAGTCGCTATACAGGGCTAGAACCGAACGTGTGACCCCACCAATGGATTTCTCGTTCGGAGAGCAGTCCATTGGTGGGGTCACACGCTCGGTTCGAGTCCCATTTACTAGTGACTCTGGAGCTCAAAACGCGTCCGGGATTTTGACCGCCTCCGCTGGCCCACTGGGGGGCTGGGTCTGGAGTCTGACCGCTGGCTCATTCACCTGGAAAGCACTCGCCGTTGACGTGCTTGACGTAGCCCAGCGTGCAGCGGCAGTAGCCCAGAGAACAGTCCTGCTGGTTGCCGGTGCACGGCACACTGTCGGAGCAGTCCGACCCTGCGTGCCAAAGTACAGGAGTAGTGTCAAAGGGCATCGGCGACGGGGGGAGGGGGGGGGGGGTTAACCCCAGGCTGGCACTAGCCAAGAATCGATCCTCCGCCGCCGCGATGACGCGCGACGTCTTGACTGGCCTCGCCGAGTGGAGTTTACACGTCTAGACTTGAAGAAGGGGTGACACTTCTCCGCGCCCAAGTGACTTCCTGACCAGTCTCTCTAGTAGAGTACATGGGGCGGGTTTCTTTCTAGTATGTAACGTACTGCTTACTGCACCACGGAAATGAGCCGACATTGGGACCGAGCTGAACTAACCTGCCGACAGCAAAAGGTGGTAGTTAGTGCCGCGAATCCCTAAAGTACTAAGGGATGCAAAGGGTTAGGAGAGAAAAGTGGGGACAGAGGCAGATTTGCGGTGCAGGCCTTCTAGTTGAATTAATTCCAACAACGTCACGGCAATCGGTCAATTTTGGTCCAGCCATGCAAGTTTCTCTGCAAACTCAACAATAGAGATGAGGCATGGGTCAGCCGGCTGGGCCCACGGCGGCTCACTGCCAGTGCGAGCGCCAGTGCGTCACCGGAGCGAGACGAGCGGTCTCTGCCACCGCAGCCGCTCAGCCCATGGGCCATCCCATTCCTCAACTCTACTCGATAATGTGTCTGCTCAGCAAGTACTCGTCAGTGCATACCCAGGAACGCTCGCTCTAGCCTCTAGCGCCTGCGAATGGCGAGGTAGGCAGCAAGCATGCACTCGCATGGAGCGGGTGGCCTACCCTCTGTCCGTAAGGCGCTCCGTGGCTGGAGGCTGAAGCAGGCAGCTGACAGATTCCGAGAGTCGTTTTCGTCGCTCTGTCTCTCTCAATCACTCACGGAGCGACGCTCCAAGGGGTTGCGAGAGAGACAGAGCGACGGAAACGACTCTCGGAATCCGTCAACTGCCTACTTCAGCCTCCAGCCGCGGAGCGCCTTACGGACAGAGGGTAGGCCACCCGCTCCATGCGAGTGCATGCTTGCTGCCTACCTCGCCATTCGCAGGCGCTACACCGGATACACTGGCAACAAATTGACACGATGCGGGCGCGTGCTGCGGCGCCATCCGAGTGATTCACAAGAGTCGTTTCGTCGCTCTGTCTCCGTCGCACTCATGAGGCTCTCCGTAAGGGTGCGAGTGAGACAGAGCGACAAACCAATCTTCTGAATCGCTCGACAGCCAACACACTGCAAGCCAAAATTCAGCCCACAACTACGCGCCACTTTGTTGCCTGAAAACTCCGAAACAACGGGCTCAATCACTGAAAAACCAAACGCGGTCTCGACTGCACCACCGGTGTGGTCAAATGGGTGCCGTTTTGACCGCATTAGTTGGTGAGGTCTAGACCACGTTTGGTGCTTGGTGCGGTCATTGCATGGTATGACCGCACCAAACGTGGTCTAGACCACACCAAATGATGTGGTCAAAATGGCACCCATTTGAACACCCCAGGGGTGCGGTCTAGACCACGTTTGGTTTTTCAGTTATCGTGACGGATCGGAAAGCTGTCACGTTTCGGCTTCCTCGCCTCGCGCTGACCAACCGCAACGTGGGGCCTTCCAGTGCCGTAAGTACTCTTACCTATCTGAGCTCGCGCGGGCGGCAGGCACGGCAGGCAGGACAACAAGACCCAGAGTGCCACTGCCACCGCAGCGGCCGCCCTCGTCGTCGGCATGGTCGCTGGTCGCGCCACTGGGAAGGGCACGAGGAAGAGGACATCAACGTAGTGTCCTGCTGCAGCTCAGCGGTCGAACCAGTGGCAGAGGGCCTGCAAACCGAAACAGCTTGTTGGAAGGATGTGAAATGACCAAGAAAATGGGGTCGCGTTGCGCCTGGTCAGGAGGGTTGTAAGGTAAGAAATTAAGCTTAGTTAACGCAAACAAGCAGTGGTAGGGCAGCGCGTCGTGAAAACTCCGATGAAAAGGGCTGGAACTGGAACGTGCGCTCCTCCAGAAAGATACACTAAAGGACCGTTGAAAAAAAAAATAGAAAAGAGGGCGAGAAACCTCGTTTGGAAGTCCCTGCCTCCCGCTGTTGGACCGTGTGACTCCACCAATGGATTCCTCGTTCCGAGAGCAATCCATTGGTGGGGTTACACGTTCGGGTCGAGTCTCATTTAGCGACTCTGGAGCTCAAAACGCGTCCGGGATTTTGTCCGCCTCCACCGGTCTTCTGACCCACTGTGCGCACCCTTGACATTCACGCCCTGCCCCCCGTCGCCCGCTTCAGAGAGCCTCTGCCCACTTCGGCGGGCCGTCGATTGAGTCTAGCTGCTGCAAGGGTTTCTGGGCCTCGGCGCGAGTCTAGCGCATCGCCGCCGAGTCCATGAGTCCCGTCAGCAGCGTGTATTTATAGGCAGGCCGTCGGCCCCCGCCTCGCTTGCCGCGCTCGACGCGTGCTGTGCCGTGCTCCGCCGTGCTCCGCCGCGGGGGGCGAGTGAGTGGAGTTTGCAGTGGTGCGGTGCGTCTCTCTCTGACGCACTGCGTTGCCCGGCATTGCCGCCCAACGGCCAGCCGTCCACAGTGGAGGCGCCGCGCTTCGAGGCTTCGAGGCTTCGAGGCTTCGAGGCGCGGCCCGGGCAGCGCGGCAGTGTAAAGTGCTGCCACAATGGACACTTACGGGCTGCAGGCTGATTCCGAGAGTCGTTTCCGTCGCTCTGTCTCTCTCGCGCCCTCTTGGGACGCACCATGGGTGCGAGAGAGACAGAGCGACGAAAACGACTCTCGGAATCAGCCATGGCTGGCTTCCTGACGGGTCGCAGAGCGACAGCAGACGGCCAAGCCCTTGAGAGAAGGCCAGGACCAAGCCCCGCTGGTCGAGCAAATTTGAAGAATCGTTTCGTTCGTCTGTCTCTCTCACACCAGAGCGACGAAGCGGCTGTCCCTCCGGGATGCCTGCTTCGCTGCCCGAAAGCCCGCGAGTGTCCACATCGTGGCGGGGCCTCCATTCGATCCGTTTTTACCGTGTAATGTCGAAGGGCTCTACGACTACCTTGTCACGTGACAACGGCCACTGTGTCCGGCACGCCCAGTTGGACTTCCCTCTTCGAATCAAGGTGCCTGTCCGGCCGCATCAAGCCGACGGCATGGCGCCGCGCCCAAGGCCGCGCCCCCGGCGCATGGCCACCGTGGTGCTTCGACAGGTGCTTCGCGAGGTGCTTCGCGAGGTGCTTCGCGAGGTACTTCGCCAAGTGCTTTGCCAAGAGCTTCGCGAGGAGCCTCTCGAGGTGCTTCTTGAAGTGCTTCGCGTGCTCGTGTTCGCGGACGTCCACCTCGCGGGATGCTGTGCGCTGCGCGGCGCCACGCTGGGGGCGGCCCGACTCGCGGCTCGCGACTGAGCGGCTGGCCGACTTGGCACGCTCCGCCAGCTCCGCCCCGCACAGTGGGCCAGGCGCGGGGCCAGGAGACCGGTGGAGGCTGCCAAAACTCGAGACGCGTGTTGAGCTCCAGAGTCGCTGAACAGGACTCGAACCGAGCGTGTGACCCCACCAATGGATCCCTCGTTCGGAGAGCAATCCATTGGTGGGGTCACACGTTCGGTTCGAGTCCCATTCAGCGACTCTGGAGCTCAAAACGCGTCTGGAGTTTTGTCCGCCTCCACCGGTCTTCTGGCCCACTGTGCGGCCCCGCGTGGCGAATCGCGCCCACCGTGCAGTGCAGCCCAGAGCTATTCCGAAGTGTCGCTCTGTCTCTCTCGCACCACCAGGGACGCCCCATGGGAGCGAGAGAGACAGAGCGATTAAACAACTATTCGAAGCCAGTGTGCGAGGGCATGGAAAAGAGCCCTTCCCTCATGATGAGGGTGGTGTAGGGTGGTGGCTGCCATGTTGCCAGAAAAGTATGCAAAGCCTGAATACACAGTTGGGAAGCCTACTAGGCACCTTTCCACTACAGCTGTGAAGTGGATGCCATGTTCAGAGCCTGCCGCATACTGATGTTTGGCTCCTGTTCGCCTACATTTCGAGTTCCTATCACAGCACCGTGGTCTGGCGAATCTACCTATAGGCGCCAGGTCAAGACAAATGCAGAGAAAAAAAGTTTCTGAACAAGCAACATAAAGAGTGCATGTTAAATTCATGATAAATGACAAAGGTTTGATAAATGGTTGGTACAAAATTTATAAATTGATTCTGTTTATTAATTTACAAAAAGAAACCTTTTCCATAATCTAATATTCTTGCCTTCACATACACTCATCAAACTTTGTAGAAACAGCATTATAGGTGGGATTGTTGTTGCTCAGCCCATGAAGAATTGAGGTAGCTCATTGCCCAAGACGCAGTGCTTCACAGTTCCTTCCTTGGTGATCACGCCAAGTCGCACACAGCCTCCACTCGAACCATCTCGCAACATAGCGAGAGTTACAGCTGAAACAGAAATACACGTATACCTTTAGTAGAAGCTGCTAAACTTTATAACAAATGTAGCTTGCAAAAATAACTTTAACTGCTTACCATTAAGAACAAACTTCATACACTCATCCTTGGTCATTCCTGGCTTGAAGTGTTTGTCAACATAGCCATACACATAGGTGCTGCCTGATCCTCCAATGGTGATTTGTTGGCGCAACATCATGCCCCCAAGAGGAATAGTGTAAACCTACAAACAAAACCAGTAGGTTATTGGAAGGAAAACTCAACATAGCAGTAATGAGGTTTGGATTTGTAACTTCTAAAATGAAAGTATACCTGACCACCCTTGTAGGGATCCCAGCCAGCTAAGATAATACCAGCAGTGAGAGAATCTCTGTAATTGTAGCACATATCCTGGAATAGAGTAGCAGCTACTTCTACACGAGGCTCCTCTCCAAGCTCCATCCTACAAGGACAACAGAAAAATAGATCATGTTAGTAAGGTCTCAGCAGCATTTGTAACATAAGAAAATAGAAAATCAGTTAGTTACCTGTGCATGCCAATATGGTAGCGAACAACATCCGCAATAGCCTGTGTGTCAGCGGAAGAACCAGATCGGCAACAGTAGATGTTATCCGTAATTTTAGTTAGTTTGTCAGTCACTCGATTGGCAATGTAGACACTGCGATAGAAGGATATAATAAGTTTAAAGACCCAGAAATTTTTGTTAAATGGAGTGGCTTTGATAGACAGTGTTTTTAAGTACAACAGGGAAGACTTACCCAGTAGTGGAGCGGGAATCAGCACCAATGACTACTCCTCCATCAAATTCAACAGCCATGATGGTTGTCTGTAACAAACCAACATCCAGGATTTGAGATTTGAGATTAAAGAAATATTTTCTTCTAAGTCTGAAGCCGAGGCGTCGCTACAGTGGGCTACAGTCTACACAGTCATCACAAGATTACTACAACAAAACAATCTTCGGTGCCTGCATCAGCTGTATCCGCCTGACACACTGCAGTTAGGTATACAGCTCAAGCCTACAACTTTAACTGAATATTGACAGACCCCGACGAAAAAATTGACAAAATTAATCAATCAGACTGATTCTGTTCCAAATAATCTTAATTCTCAAATCTTTGTAAACATGATTCAGCGGACTTGGCAGTGAGAGGTTAGGTAGCCGGGGCCGAAGGACAGCAGTTCAGTGAAAATATGCACAACTAAAGGGACACAAACGACAAATTACTCACTCCTGTTCTGTGCTCGGCTTGCCATGGTACAGTTGGATCATAGGAAGGGATATAAGGGCTTGCCAGGTCGAATTTTGACATAGCGCTCCTTCCATTCATCATCATCGCCATGTTAAATGTTGACTGTCAACTTCAAGACTACGGACAGCCAACGCCACAAACGCAACTTCTTCAAGACTCGTAGAGCAAATTTTCACCTGCGAATTTTCGATTCAAAGAGTTCGCTACGAACGATAAATCGGATTTTCCTCTTGATGAGAATATCCAACAGAATTCTAAAACAATTTTTAGAAGTCACTTTTCCCCCTTCTATTTTTTTTCGTGCGCACAAGTTGGCCAGTTGATGTCGATGACTGTCTGAACTCAGTGAGTGAAAATGGAGGAAATCGGCATCATCGTCTCCGAAAAGGTGAGATTTTGTTGAATTAGTCGGTGTTTTAACATATTTCCCTTTATTCCTACTCTTGCTCAGACACGGAGTATCATCCGGAACTCGTTTGGATGGTTGTTTAAAGTGTACTGTGGGCTTGAAGCCGGCGCACAAATACGTAAACGTCACTTGGGTTATGTTCAACCTACATATTTCTATCTCGTGTCAATCTTAAGTTTGGCCCTCTTTCGTTTTTTTCTACCATGTGACGCAACTGTATGAGTTCTCTTTACCTTTCACTGCAGCCACCGGCCCCTTGGTTCTGTGTATAACATTGTGTTTATTTTGTTGTCAAAGGCACCTAACCTAGTTATGAATGAATTAATGCCTGTCATACCCTTTGTATGAAAGAAGGTTTTTCTTCTGAACGATTGAATTAAAATGGTCTCGATATCCATTTGCAGCAATGAATTCTTTAACTCTGTTGTTATACATTCTATTTTCTTGTCACTTTGCCCTATCTACATCAATATCTCTTTGTCAGTTTGTGATTCGAGTGTTCTTTGTTGTAGGAGGATCTCAGCCTCGATGCAAAGCCCACTCTTCTACCACAATGTAGCCCTCTCGATGATTTAGATGTTGAAGATCTCTACACCAAGTTTAAAGTGAGTTTGCCATCTTTTAAATTGTGATAGTCTGTAAGGATTATCATTTTATCGTTCATCTCTTTCTGTTCAGACTCTTCAGCGCCAACTTGAATTCTTAGCTGTTCAAGAAGAGTACATCAAAGATGAACAGCGCAACCTGAAGAAAGAGTACTTGCATGCTCAAGAAGAAGTGAAGCGAATTCAAAGTGTTCCTCTGGTTATAGGACAGTTCTTAGAAGCAGTTGATCAGAACACAGGAATTGTTGGCAGTACAACTGGTGAGTAGCATCCAAAGTTTCTTATGTGTACTTTATGAGCCTGCCCTATTTTGTTTCTTCAACTTTTATTCTTTATTTTTTCCATCAGGTTCAAACTACTATGTAAGAATTCTCTCCACTATTGACCGAGAATTATTAAAGCCCTCAGCCAGTGTTGCTTTACACAAACACAGTAATGCTCTTGTCGATGTATTACCTCCTGAGGCAGATTCCTCCATATCTATGCTGCAAGCAGGTACGTTTGTTACACTTTCAAGTCTGTCATGTTTTCTTATCATGACTTATTTATTAATTCAAATCTCTAATGAATTAAACCAGATGAGAAACCCGATGTACAGTATGCAGATATTGGTGGCATGGACATGCAGAAGCAGGAAATTCGTGAGGCAGTAGAGCTGCCACTGACCCACTTTGAACTTTACAAACAGATTGGTATTGACCCGCCCAGAGGTGTCCTTATGTATGGTCCCCCTGGTTGTGGCAAGACCATGCTTGCTAAGGCTGTTGCCCACCACACCACAGGTATGTAGTAGTCTTGAGGCCCTTCAGAACTGCTGATGTTTTTATTTTACTGTTTTGTGGTTTTAGGTACATTTTACATGGTACTTGACATTTCTTATTTGGTTCACTTTTTCAGCTGCATTCATCAGAGTGGTCGGTTCAGAGTTTGTGCAGAAATATCTTGGTGAAGGCCCTCGTATGGTCAGGGATGTATTCAGACTTGCCAAAGAAAATTCTCCTGCAATCATTTTCATTGATGAAATTGACGCTATTGCGACCAAGCGTTTTGATGCACAAACTGGAGCTGATCGAGAAGTTCAGAGAATTTTATTGGAGCTTCTTAACCAGATGGATGGTTTTGACCAAACAACTAATGTTAAGGTACTTACAAGTTCCTTGCATTTGCGTTTTGTTAAAACTTTTGGCCACAGCCTCTTATTGTGAATTTGTACCTGTTACAGGTTATTATGGCTACAAACAGAGCTGACACCCTAGACCCTGCTCTTCTTCGTCCTGGTCGTTTGGACCGTAAAATAGAGTTCCCCTTACCAGACAGGAGGCAAAAGCGACTTGTATTTGCCACCATTACTGCTAGAATGAACTTGAGTGACGAAGTTGATCTCGAGGATTATGTTGCAAGGCCAGACCACATCTCTGGTGCTGATATCAATGCCATCTGCCAAGAGGTATTGTTATTTTTCTCTCTCCCCCTGAATATTTCTTGTTCTTTTATATCCTGTTTAATTAATAATTTTCTTCTCCATCAGGCTGGTATGCATGCAGTGCGAGAAAACCGTTACATCGTTCTAGCTAAAGATTTTGAAAAGGGCTACAAAAATAATATCAAGAAGGAAGAATCTGAGCATGAATTTTACAAATAAGCTATATCTGCACTGTGTGGGCAAGCTTAGACTTATTATGTCATTCATCATAAAATCAATCCAAATTAAACTACATGTTTATAGATTTCTGCAAAAACAAAAACCGGCAAAAAACGAAAGCAAATTCAACTGTTTTGTTTTTCAACTTCTGAAATTAGACTGAGGGATGTATGCAAAAGATGGTAAAGAGGGAATGCAGATGTTGGATGTATTGTAACTTGTATCATAACGAGATTTTTTTTTAGAAAGGCTAATAAATATTATTAACAAAGCATTGTCCCTAATCAGCACTGCTTCCTTTCCAACCTGAACATTTTATGAGACTTATGTGTGATTTGACACTAATGAGTTAATTGAACATTACTAGGATCAGAAATATTATAATTGATAAAGTTAGAAAATTTTTGGATCAAGGGTTTTGAGGTGTATTTCTCTAATGACAAGTTTGATGTCCGTGCTTAAATGTAGACAGTGAATCTTACACCATTGACGGGAAGCAAATTGGTTGACTGGTTTCTTCTGAACGTCAGGACGTTGTGACAGTTTGACTTAGTTCTATCTCTCTGGTGGCCCAGTTTCAATTTACTGTAGTCACTTCATCAATCTGTGCAACATTATTCTCTGTTGATGCCCCAAATGAGCAGCTGGCGGTGAAAATTGTCTTATGAAAAGGGGAAAATTTTGTGCCTCTGGTTGACCACTAGCAGGTAGTGTTGAGCCCATGCAGAATGCAGATTCCTGACGACTGCACTTTGACACCGACCTTCCTGACCCTTTAACTTAAACCCTTAAACGCAAAGTTGAAAAAGAAAAGAACGGGAGGGAGTGTGTGTGCGTTAGAGTTCACTGTAGGACTGCTGGGCGCGTTTGTGTGTGTGCACAGAGCAGGCACGGCGGAGAGCGCCGTGATGGCAGGCAACCCATCGGCCGTCCGTCCCTTGCCACGAGGCAGATGGGTTGCCTAACCGTCACGGCGCTCGCCTCGTAGACGTCTCATCCCTCCCCTGGAGCCCTACATCCCCTACCCACACTGTGAGAAAAAAGTACGGAAAAAGTACGGAACATGTCTGGTCAATAATTTGCCTGGAACGTCCGTACTTCCCAACTACGGAACGTTCCGTACCTTTTTTCCGTACCCATTTACATGGGTTCCTATGGAGCAAGTACGGAACTTTCCGTACTTTTCTCCGTACCTCCGTGCCATATTTTTCTGTACCATTTCCGTACAAAAGTAAGGAATTTTTTACAGTGCAGGATGAGGCTGACGCTGGTCCATAGTCCAAGACGTATTGCGTCCCCATCCAAACCTGCCTCTGGGTTGCACTGTACCTGTACCTGAGGGGGGGGGGGGGGGAGAGAGAGAGAGAGAGAGAGAGAGAAAGAGAGAATACGGAATTTGCTTTCATTCGATTTGGACGACTCTCCCTCTCTCTCCCCAATCAAGTCGGCCGGGCCGTTTTACGCGCTCCGCGACTGCCTGTTTATTCTGCAACGAAATATCGTTCCCGATCGCGTCGGTCCGTCCCGCGTCCTTTTACGAGCATCTGAGTGATGTGAACTTAATTATGTTCGGTCCATTTATGACATGAGGACCTGTACCCCCCGCACTTCCCCTCCCCCTCTTTCGCCTTTGACTTACTCCCCTGAAGCCCTCGTAAAAAGTGGCATTTTATTCTCAAATCATAAACGGATACCGGTATTTTACTGGCGAACTGCGCCGGGCCGGCGAGTCGCGCGCTCGCGGGTGGGCGGAAGGGGGGAGAGGGGGGGGGGAGGCCAGGGCGGGTGGACAGGTCGCCTCTGTTCTGTCCGGCCGGGGCACGACCGGCTTCTCTCATATTTGCATCCGAATTCGCCTCGTATTAATCCGAAATTCATTTCCGTGAAGGCGAATAGACCTATAAAAGTTAATGATGATGGGGCCCAGGCCGGCCCAGGTCGTCGGGGCCCAGGGCTGGCCGAGGCGGGCCGTGTGCCCTCGCGCGTTTGTGTGCACAAGCGGAGCACAGCGCAGCGCAGCGCGTCCCCCGCGGTGAAAACGTATTTAACTCGCTTGCCATTAGCATTCCTTGGGAATAGCGTAACGTCGCTCATTCCGAGGGCTTTTCGCCGCAACTGCGTCGCCGGGACCAGGGAGGACCGGAGCCAGCGGCGATCGCAGCGTCACACAGTGGTGGAGGCGGTCAAACTCCCGGACGCGTTTTGAGCTCCAGAGTCGCTAAATGGGACTCGAACCGAACGTGTGACCCTACCAATGGATTTGCTCTCCGAGCGAGGAATCCATTGGTGGGGTCACACGCTCGGTTCGAGTCATGTTTGGTGACTCTGGAGCTCAAAAGGCGTTTAGAGTTTTGGCCATCCAGGTCCCAATCGCCTCCCCCACCCCTCTCTCTGGACCCGGGTGGGAGTCGTCGTCGTCGTCGTCGTCGTTGTTGTTGTTGTTGTTGTTGTTGTTGTTGTTGTTGTTGTTTTTATTGTCATTGTTTTTCTGCCCGGGCGGCGGTGGGGCGGGGAGGGGCGGCTGGAAATATGCGCGCGCCGAAATGCAATTCGCCATAATCTTCCGATTTTACGCGGCCCCCGTGACGTCCGCCGCGACCGGCTGTTGGTTTAGTCGCATCGGCTCGCGAGTATTCATCTTGGAGAGCACTTGTGTGAAAGGTGCCCTGCGAGAGGCTAGGAGGTGCCGAACCGAACGGAGACCCGAAGCCGAAGGCAAGCCGAAGGCCCCGACTCGGCCCGAAGCCAAAGCCGAAGGTGCCATATGAAATTCAATTATTCTGATCATGCAACTGAAGTCACTAAGTCACTCATATTGCTTGGGGAAAAGAAGAAAGGATGTCCACAAACTCAAAACTAATTTTGGAAAAATATTTTAAAAATATACGATGGGGAAAAATTGCCATAAGTCAACAAAAATGGTGACATTTACTGGCCTAATATTTCTTTTTTTGTTCCAAAATGTGAACAAGTGCATCATTTTCGCTTCTTAATTCTGTTGACAACTATCTAAGAAACTTCGGAAGAAAAAGAGAGATAAATTATCAGGCCGAAGACTAGACCTGACCATAACTGTTGCGCGGAATCTCTTAAACTAATCGATGAGAGATTACGACAACTGGAAGCTTACAACTTTCTTTAAATTTTGTTTGTGCATGTTAGATGTTCTACAATACATTAGTCATACTCGCAACTTCTTTAGTACAGGATTCAATGGACAACTAATACGAATTGTTTTTTATTTTGTGTTAATAGCTGTTTTTTTTCCACACCTCACCTTGAGCTATCATTTCATTTTAGCGTTAAGCTAAAATGTCTCTTGCGACTGACTTTTTGACCTCAAGGTCTGGTCCGAAGAATTTTAAGTCTCTGCGTCTCTGCAAACTTTCGGCACTTGCATTGACGGAGTCTTGTTTTAGCAAGTTTGAGAAAAAAATTGGTTCGACTAATTTAAAAAAGCTAAACAAAAATATTCTGTTCTATCTTTTAATTTTTATCCAAATATTTAAAAAGGTTTGGAAAATAAGTTGAGTAATACAGTTCACATAATTCACTTGATGCAAGAGTTGTTTGTTGTTTTCTTTTTCCAACATATTGTCAAATTGTTGAAAAAAAAAAACACTTATGCGGCCCTTACATTTTATAAAATGCCCATGGTAACATTGTTTTTACCTCTAGAGTTAAAGAAATACATAAATTGAGCAAACACCACGACTTCGGGTTCGGTCAGTCGTTTCGGCCAGTTCGGGTCCTCCCGCGCTCGCTCGGGTTACGCTCGGGTCCCGAACCATCTAGCCTCGCGCAGTGCCTTTCACACAAGTGCTCTCCAAGATAAATACTCGCCATCGGCTCGGCGGCGGCGGTGCAAGGCGGTGCCCTCTCCTCTACGCCGTGGCCTCAGCCGCCCCGATTGGAATCACCGGCGGGGCGGGGCGGGGCGGGGCGGGGCGGGGCGGGGTGGTCCCTTTACAACTCCGGGAATGACCAGGGCAGCCATTAAGCGTCGTCGTCGCGGACCTCGCGCTGCCGGCCCCAGGCCGCGGGCACCGGCATCAAAGGCATGCACGTGCGTGTGGTTCCGGCCAGGAAGCGCGTTTCGCCGCTCTGTCTCTCTCGCACCGATAAGGAACGCCCCTCGAGTGCGAGAGAGACAGAGCGACGAGAGTGATGTCCGGTCTGCGGGCTGGGTTAGATCGGGCTGCGCACTGCCAGGGCACTGCAGGCGGCTTGCGAGGACATCTGCAGCGTGGCACGAGCTGGAGTGGACTCAGTGCAGTAAAGGCTGCAAGGCACATACGCCTCTTTCCAGGAGACTGATTCCGAGAGTCGTTTTCGTCACTCCGTCTCTCTCGCACTCATATAAACGCCCTATCAGTGCGAGAGAGACGGAGCGACGGAAACGACTCTCGGAATATCGGTCTGCAGGCTTCAGTGTAGGGGATCCGGACGCGTAGTTTGAAAGGGGGCGCTTCACAGACTCTTCCTGCTAAGGCGTGAGACTGCCTCCTCCGCCTCGAATGGAGCGCCTGCTCGAAGCCAGGGGTCCGCATCCCTCCCCGCGCGCTTCGGCGAATCCCACCCCACATTCTTCCACGCCAGGCGCGGTTCCAGAGAGAGGGGTGGGGGAGGCGATTGGGGTCTGGCTGGCCAAAACTCTAAACGCCTTTTGAGCTCCAGAGTCACCAAACATGACTCGAACCGAGCGTGTGACCCCACCAATGGATTCCTCGTTCGGAGAGCAATCCATTGGTGGGGTCACACGTTCGGTTCGGGTCCCATTTAGCGACTCTGGAGCTCAAAACGCGTCCGGGGTTTTGACCGCCTCCACCGGTCTTCTGGCCCACTGTGCGGTGCCTCGGTAGAAGCGCCGCGCCCTGGCTTCCGCGTGCTCGGCGGTCATTATTAGAGACTGCGGCGTTCTTATCTTCGCGCTTCGCGCTTGCGAACGCGGAAAATGGGAAATGGGAAATGGGAAATGGAAAATGCCCGCGCCGTGAAAATGAAACGGTTATGATTGCTCGGCAGCCACCTTCCCAGCCGTTTGTGCCTCTGCCTCCCCAGAGAGAGACAGACTCCGCGACTTTTCCCTCTTCTTGAGGACCTCGCGGGGAACTTGCACCCCCCCCCACCCCCGATACAGGAGCCTCCCCCCTGCTCCCCCTCCCCTCCTGCTTTCATTGTGAGGGGAATTTCCCCCGGGACGAACTGTGAGGAAGGGAGTAGCGTTGTTGCAAGGGGAGGTGAGGAACCGTGAGGAACAGCCCTGTCAGGG